CGCAGTCAATCCGACCTAAAGTATGAGGAGCCCAGGTTTCGTCTACACAAGAGGGAAAACTGGATAGCTATGATGGCTGCAAAGCTCCAGGAGGCCAGTGGTATAAAATGGATGACGCCGAGGTCACTGCCTGTAGCATCGCTTCTGTCCTGAGTCAACCGGCCTATGTCCTCTTTTACATCCAGAAGAGTGAATTGGAAAGACGCAGTGAGAGTATGTCAATAGGCAGGGAACCAGGAGCCCTTGGTGCTGAACACACAGATAGGCGAGCAAAGCAAGGAGAGCTCCAGAGAGAACCCTGCCTCCAGGTACCGCCCAATTTGGAGGACCACTTGGTGGAAAAAGCCACTCAGGAAAGCACCTTAGACCACTGGAAGCTCACTTCAAGAGCAAAACCAAACAAGCTGACTTCAACATCAGAAAAGTCGAATGTACCCTGCCTCCCAACGTGCTTGTGATTCATCCATCAAAATACAAGAGTGGGATGAACAACCGTCATCCTGAACAGCAAAGCTCCCTGCTGAACCTCTCTTCAAGGAACCTGACACCTCAGGAGTCCATCAACACTGGCACACTCACTTCTCTGCAAGGGAGGACCAGGAGATCCAAAGGGAGGAACAAACACAGCAGGAGGGCCCTGTTTGTGTGCCAGTGATCTCAGGAAAAGTCTCCACCCAAACGCAGGAGTGCACGCGCACACACACTGACACACACACACACATACACGTACCCACACACACACCCACGAGGTGGTTCGCGCATGCACACACACACACCATCACATACGCAGTCAATCCGACCTAAAGTAATGAGGAGCCCAGGTTTCTGTCTACACAAGAGAAAACTGGATAGTGATGGCTGCATTTCAGGATGAGCCCAGACATGGGAAACATCGAGTTTTGCAGTCGTGAGTCTTCCGAACCTGTGGAGGGATTGTCTGTGTGTTTGTGTTCATGGTAGATGACATTCAGTGTGAATTTCTGAATATGACATATTGCGGTGTAGGGTTGCGCGTGAGGTTATTTCAGGGCACGGGGTTGATATTTTCTCTTGGGGTGTGTTTCATTCGTCAGTTGTTGGTGAGCACCAGAAGCTGAAGTTTGCGAACGTGGGACTTCTGTGGATCCTTCTCGCTACTTTGAGTAGTGGAAACTGGAACGCATTTGAAGAGAGGAAGGGTGTTCTTCTTTTGAACCTGCCTCGCCGTTTTTACATTGCTTGTTGAATGGACGTCAGGCGCCCTAGGACTTGTGCCCTTGGTGGAACCCACAGAATGCTGGAGACAGACAGACAGACACACTTGCCTATTGAATGGTGTCCATTTCCAATGAATTGAAGCAGAAAATCATCCCACTGGTATGCGAGTCATTTGGAATAAGTCGTATTGATAATAAAGGAAATCAAACACAGGAGCGTGTGTGTATTCAACTAAAATAAAATCAGCAAGCACTGAAATAAATCTCATTCGGTGTGTATCAAAATGGCATTTGGGAGATTCCGGGTCAACCGTCCAGCTGCGAAGGGTGCATCTCTGAAGCACAGTCCCTGACCTGAAGTGAGACTTGTTCATCCGAGTGGTGTTGCAGTGGAAATGATTGTGGAAATGGCCCCTTCCTTTTGCGTATTCGCTGATTGGATTTCAGGCTCCGTTTCTCCTTTGGTACAATGATCCAAGTTGACCAACCCAGAGAGAAAGATGTCCAGGGCATAACTCAGGGCTCCGTACAATCACAGAATCTTGGGTGCAACCCTGCTCAAGCACACAAATGTGCGTATTAACAGTGTCTCTATGTGACGTGTGTGCAAACTACAATGTGACGAGCATGACTGGCAGACAGGTGATCCATTGGGTTCACCTCAAAATCAGTTATGAGCATGAAAGAACACCGATGTCCAGGTCCCGGCTTCAGACATAACACCCTCCAGCGTCTTGTGTGAAGCCGAGGCATCTGGACTGCTCATGCTTCTGGGGATCATTCTCCTGAAAATGGTGGTTCCTTTCTCCCCATGGAACAACTGTCTAAGCAGCGCTTCTTTACTCCCCCAGGACTCTTTTCATGTGGATTCCTTGCATCGGATTGCATCAGGATTGGAGATGTTGCTCCGTTCTTTCCAGTTCGGCTTGTGTGGTGGACTGGCAGTCTCACATTTGGTGCAAATTTAAAGCTGACTGACGTAGACATCTCCAAACCTGGAGCGGGCAGACATTCTGGGCTCTGCTCCGTCTTCCGGTGCTTTGGCTTCACCCCAGGATGACGATCCCTGCCTCAGGGATTTTGTCAAAATGTGTTTGAAGAGTGAGAAACGGGGAGAATTTAGCGCACGGGCGCCGCAAGGCTCGAGGTGGTCAAAGAGACATGCTGGGCTCAGGCTGCCATGAAACTCGGATGATCTTAGGGACGGATGTGGATGAGAGCTCGGTGCCCTTTTGCCCAGTTTCCTCTTCCATTGTACTTTTCATGGGGCAGGTCGTGTGTCCATCAGAGCATCCGCTGCCCGATGAAAAGAGTTGGGAGACAGAGTGCCTGCTTAGAAGAGTTGCGTCCACAGCGACGAGGCGCCACATTTTCAGGAGAATGATCCCAAGAGCATGAGCAGTGATCGCCTGGCTTCAAAAAGACCTGGGAGGTG